CGGTGGTGGTGTAAGAGATATGTACAGGGTGGGTGATCCGCGCCGTGTTTTTTATTTTCTCCTTACACTATACCGGATTCATGCGTGCGGACGGGTTGCATACTCGCACGGGGCCGTAAGGCGCCATGGCGGGCGACGATAGGGAAGCCAGCCCGCACGCATGAATCCGGTACAGTATAAGCAGAAAAAACCCACGGCACGGATCACCCACCCTGCATAGGAGCTGTCGCCCATATCTCGACAAAGGGGAGGACAGGATAGGCGAACACGAGGGCGCCGACAGATGGGATCAAGCGTTGTCGGAATCTTTATGACGTTCTTCGTGCGCGGCGCCCAGGCTGCGGCTGTATGCCGCGGGCCGAGGGGGTTCGCGGGGCGGGGTCGGCGGGGAAGAGCAGGGCGGCGTGGTGCACGCCGTGGACGCGGGCACGCCCCGCGTAGGAAACAGCCAGAGCCGATGGTCTCGGCCCCGCGGCGGCTGTGGACGCTCTGTGGTGGTGGCGAGGATCGAGTGTGTGTGTGTGTTTCTGCAGCAACGCTTCCACAAGGGGCTGGACCTCGGCCAGCTTTCGGCCACGTTCCCACGGTGAGGTCCGCCCCGCCCGGCCCCGCCCCGCTCGGCAGCGTGGCGTGGCCGCCATGCTGCGTGCGTCCAACAGGCGGGAGGTGGCGGGCCCCCTGGCCCTGGTGGCGACTTGTGTCCGAAGGGGTGGTGTGGTGTGGTGCGCGGAAGGGGGTCACCAGCTGCTGACGCGCACTCCTTGATCCCCGCCAACCTTCCTCCACCACCCGCGGTTATTCTCTCCTCCTGTGTTGTATTATTTCGATCCCTCTCGACCGACCTCATCTCTGATCTCTCTCTGAAGTGCTCGTGTTATTGCTTCTCGGAAATCAGCGCGTCAATGAACTTTGGCTGGCATGGGTGGCGGTGGTGGGATCCTCCTCGCGGGTCTGGCTCGCGGGGAACTGGAGCGCTCGTTCATTACGCTCCGTCTGGTCTGAATACGTCGCGACACACGACGCACAAGCGTGCCGGGCTAATTATGACTGGCGTCGCGGCGAGGGCGGCACGCGAAGCCTCATGGCTCGTCGCCCATAGCTTCCATCGCTCACAAAGGAACTCATCTAAGTGGTAGGCCCCGATTTTTGTTCCGCCTTGGGGTGTTTAGTAGAGTGACCGTATACAAAACGATTGGCGATGAAAATTCGTGCCCAATTTAATGTGTTGTGGGTCTATAGGGATAATCCACTTTCCCAAGAAATAGCAAAACTCGCATTTTTTTTTCTCTGAAAAATCCCGAAACGACCCCCAGTTTGTATTCGGCCTTACATCGACATTTTAAAACTGAATCCAACCTGGGGATCATTTTGGAATTTTTCGGAAGAAAGAAAAATTTGAGAGAAAATGGATTATCCAGGACACCTACATTAAATTGGACACGAATTATCATCGCCAATCGTTTTGAATGCGGTCACCCTACGAAACTCCCATGGCGGAACAAAATCGGGGACTAACCTCGGACTAACACTATCGGGTGAGTTCACTTGTCAGCTCCTTCACTCATAGGTATTGTTTAGCCAGCCCATGCCCATAGATCCTCGACCAGGTCCTCATTCATAGCTCTTAGCCCTCACCTAAAGCTCCTCACGCATTGCTCCTTGCCAATCTCCTCGCCTATACTGCCCACCCAATTCCCCGATTCCCCGTCCTGCTCCGCAGACGGCTCACACGGCTACGGCCATGGGCTTGAACACCCGAAAAGAGTCGATTGTCGAATCAAAGTAGTACAGTTGCGTTAGAGAAGTGCATATTCTGTTGAGGCCACATTCTGCAATTACAATTACATGGTCCGAACACAGTTCTTGTTTACTTGACCCGATACTTGACTAGTTTAGGTGTGCGTGGTGTGTGTTGTACATCCAGACCGCCCACCCCACCACCCCCTTTCCCCGCACAGTGACTCACACAAGCACTTCGCATGCGGCGGGCTCGGCTCGGGAGTTTTCCGCGGGCGGCCCCCTTGTAATTGGGTCGCTTGGCGCACAGTAGTCGAGTATGTATGTGATGTGTGTGTGTGTGAGTGTGTGCTCCTCTCATCCCAGCCTCCTCCCTGTCGTCGTGTACCGGGTGTAACTGTGAATACGCGGCAGTGTTGCGGGCTTGCATACTCAATATGGCCGCAGGGGCCATCATGGCCCCTTGCGGGTGTAAAGAGTTAGGCAATCCCGCAAGACTGCTGCGTATTCTCAGTTACACCCGGTACCTGCTCCTCCTGCCACGGGGCCCCTCCGCTCTCCAACGCACAGAGCCTCCTCCCCGCGCTCCTCCCCAAGTGCGATGGCCTTGCTAATGAGTGGCGCTGGCTGCGCTGGCCCGGCGGCCGCCCCCCAGGAGCATCGCACCGAGGGGACGACAGGAGAGAGATGAGTGTCCCGTCCCGCCCTCTCCCGCGGCGGTGGCCACTGGCCCATATTGTCCCGAAATAGCTTCCTGTCCGGCCCGCCGTGCCGGTCGGCCGCCAGGTCCTAAACACGGGGACCCGGGGACCCTTCGCTCGCGCCGCGGGGAGGACACTGCGGGACCGGCCAGGACCTCGTCAGCGCGAGCCCTCTCTCTGCTTCCGGGGTGTGCCTGCTGGCCTGCTGGCGGGCGGTCTATCCCGGACGCCGCCGCGTTGATCGACGGGCTGGCCGTCGGCGATCGCCCTTGCCGACGTCGCCGACGTACACAACACCTGACTGTGCCGGCCGGTCCCACGGGTCACGGGTCGCGCCCGCTGCCCCGCCCCCGCCCCGCCGGTGTACCGGATGCAAATGAACCGTCGCGGCTGACAGTAGCCGAGCCGTAGACGTGAATCGATAATCGCGTTGCGTTCTCCGGCGCGGCGGGCCAGGCGTAAAGCACCCAAAGCACCCGAAGCACCCCGCGAGTGTGGCGCGGTCAAGTCGGCGACCTTTTCAGCCAATCAGCTGCTCGGCCGGCCGGGCCCAGGTCCACCAGTCGGCGTTATTACTGTCGCTTTATTCTCCCCGGGGCCTGGCTGGCGCTGGCGTGTGCCTGCGCTTAATTGGGCGGGGCGGGGAGGGGAAAGGGCGGGGCGGGGCTTTCGCCTGTTATTACCGCGACGTCGGTGGTGGTGCTGCCCACCCGGGGCTGCCCCTTGCACCCCTGCCTCCTGCCCCTTGCACCCCTGCCCCTTGCACCTCTGCCCCTTGCACTCCTGCC